GCAATCGCAGATCCCGCTCAACTGCCGACAGCGTCTGGAACGCCACATGGGCTCAGAGTCGGCACTGTTGAACTGGGCCCTCCGGGATCCGGCCACGCAGACCATCCACGAACTGGCCACGAAACCGGTGTACGCCGCAGGATCAGTGGTCATGGACGCCCCATCCGTATCCAGAGTGTGGAAGGAGAAACTGGTCCAGAGTGCGGATTGCGCAATGCTGCGAGATGTGAACACGGTTCCCGCATCCCACCACTGGCTTCGAAACCCTGATCGCCTCTTCCCTAACGTGTTCATCAAGGCGATCCAGCTGCGCAGCGGAACTCTCCAGACCAAGGCCCGCACCGCCCGTCACAAACCCATGACCCAAGACGAGATCGGATGTCGGGGAGCATGTAATTGTCCCGAAAACATCTCCCACATACTGCAAACGTGCAGCGTCACTGATCTCTCCCGTCACCGCCGCCACAACGACATCTGCAATGAGATCATACGTCGATGCCGGAAACAACACACGACGATCATTGCAGAACCCCACGTCCCTACGGCCTCCTCGTACCTCAAGCCGGACCTGGTGATCATCCGCGACGACCAAGCCTACATCCTGGATGTCGCCGTGTGTGGAGTTGACCGTCTGGAGAAGACGTATCGTCTGAAGGAGGAGAAATATGGCAACACCAACGCATCCGCGGCCATCTCCGCCCACCTCTCCAGATTGACCAACACTCCGCTAACCCAGATCCACCAGCAGCCCATCATCTTTAACAACCGGGGCCACATCAACATCCGTTCATCGCATCACCTGAAGGCTCATGGGTTCAACAACCGGGACATAGCAGATCTCTGCATGACAACAATCCACGGGTCGATCAGGACATACAACAACTACATGCGAGGCGCGTTCAGAACAACGGAACGGCAATACGGAACATTGATGGGCAACCGATGACGGGGCGGAATATATGAAGAAAGGAGCAATCACCATCATTCTCTTTTCTTTCAAATATGCA